ACAGCAGAGGTCTCACTCCGAATCAGTCGAGTGGCAATATCTTTTAATCGGTTGTGTAACGCTGTGTGGAAGCTACCTGGTCTGTCGCTCTGCACGAAGCTTCAGGTTTTCTCGGCCACGGTCATTCCCTCCCTTCTCTTTGCTTGCGAAACGTGGACCCCCCTAATGGAACATCTTCGCCGGTTAGAAACATTTAGGCTAGCCTGCCTACAATCCATCCTGGGTTTAACCAGGCTGGATTGTGTGAGGAGCTCACAAATCCTTGAAAGATCTGGGCAAGGTCCCATCGGTGAGCTCCTCCGGCAGGCAAGGGTGCGCTTGCTGGGTCATGTAGGCCGCATGCCCTGCCACTGCATGCCGAAACAGCTTTTGTTCGGCCGGATCGAGGGGGCTAAACGAACACGGCACGGGCTAGAGAAGAGATGGAGTGATGTGGTACAGGAGGACGTGGAGCTGAGTGGACTTGCCGATGACCGGTACCAGCGGTGTCAAGATCGGCCTCTGTGGAGGAGGCTCGTGAAGGACGCTCCTGGGCAGTTAGAGGCAGTCGCCCTCCAACAACAAAGGAGGGCGGAGGAGTGACGCTCACAACAATGAGCGGAGCGCCGGGTGGCTAAAGCACAGCAGGTTGGCACAGTAGGGGGCACAGGTCATCTCAGTCATCTCAGTCAGTCGACCTGTGGCACCTGGGTCTGCCCCGTGACCTGCCAGCGGGCGTTCGACACTTCACGTGGCCTCAAGGTGCACATGGCCTGGCACAAGCGTCATGGTGACCTCACCTCCACTTAGTGGCGATTGGCGGTTGTTGTTGTTGTGTGTGTGTGTGGGCAAGTGTGTGTGTGGTTGGCTGTGGGAAGGTCGGGGCGCTATAGGTGGGCGGGTGTGGGCGGGTGTGGGCGAGTGGGTGTGTCGTGTTATGGGTGTGTGTGGGTGGCTGTGGGGGGGTGGGGGGTGGGTGGTGTGGGTGTGAGTGCGTGTTCGGGTGTGGGTGATTAGTGTTGGTGGCTGTGTGTGTGGGTGAGCGGTTTGGGTGAGAGTGGGTTGGTGGGAGATTCGGGGGTTTAGGTGCTATGTACACACTAACACACACACTAACACACACACTAACACACACACACTAACACACTAACACACACTAACACACACACTAACACACACACTAACACACACACTAACAACAACCGCCATTCGCCACTAAGTGGCGGTGACGTCACCACGACGCTTGTGCCAGGCTATGTGCACCCTGAGGCCACGTGAAGTGTCGAACGCCCGCTGGCAGGAGGTCACGGGGCAGACCCAGGTGCCACGGGTCGACTGACTGAGATGACTGGCTGATGCACCACATGTGCCCCCTACTGTGCCAACCTGCTGTGCTTTAGCCACCCGGCGCTCCGCTCGTTGTTCTGAGCGTCGCTCCTCCGCCCTCCGTTGTTGTTGGAGGGCGACTGCCTCCAACTGCCCAGTAGCATCCTTCACGAGCCTCCTCCACAGAGGCCGATCTTGACACCGCTGGTACCAGTCATCGGCAAGTCCACTCAGCTCCACGTCCTCCTGTACCACATCACTCCATCTCTTCTCTAGCCCGTGCCGCGCCCGCTTAGCCCCCTCAATCCGGCCAAACAAAAGCTGTTTCGGCATGCGGTGGCTGGGCATGCGGGCTACATGACCCAGCCATCGCAGCCTTGCCTGCCGGAGGAGCTCACCGATGGGACCCTGCCCAGATCTTTCAAGGATTTGTGAGCTCCTCACACAATCCAGTCTGGTTAAACCCAGGATGGATCGTAGGCAGGCCAGCCTAAATGTTTCTAACCGGCGAAGATGTTCCATTAGGGGGGTCCACGTTTCGCAAGCGTAGAGAAGGGAGGGAATGACCGTGGCCAAGAAGACCTGAAGCTTAGTGCGGAGCGACAGACCAGGTAGCTTCCACACAGCGTTACGCAACCGATGAAAAGATATTGCCGCTCGACTGATTCGGAGTGAGACCTCTGCTGTTAAACTGGAGCCAGTTAATTACCACGAAACCACGAGTTAAACTAACACACACACTAACACACACACACACTCACACTAACACACACACTAACACACACACACACTCACACTAACACACACACTAACACACACACTAACACACACACTAACACACACACTAACACACACACTAACCCACACACTAACACACACACTAACACACACACTAACACACACACACACACTAACACACCAACACTAACACACCAACACTAACACACCAACACTAACACACACACACTAACACACACACTAACACACACACTAACACACACACTAACACACACACTAACACACACTAACACACATGTTAGTATGTTATTGTTGATGTGGTTGTTGTATTTTTTGCAGTTTCGGGCAGAGCCTACAGAGAGGGTGGAGCGAAAGAAGGTGATGGGCCATCAACATCACCACCATCACTACCATCACTACCATCACCACCATCACTACCATCACTACCATCACCACCATCACTACCACCATCACCACCATTACTACCATCACCACAATAAACATCATCACCACACTCATCATCAATATCACCCCTATCATAACCACCATCACTAACCACTACCATCAACATCCCCGCTACCACCATCGCCATCACTACCATCACCACTACCACCACCATCAACATGGTCACCACCACCACAACCACCATCATCACCACCATCACCACCATCACCACCACCATCAACATGGTCACCATCACCACTGCCACAACTACCACAACAACCACCACCATCAATACCACAACCACTACCACCATTTCCACCACCATCAACATCATCACCACTTCCATCACCACTTCCATCACCACCACCATCAATATCACCATCATTACCACCACAACCATCATTACCACCACCATCATCATTACCACCACAACCATCATCATTACCACCACCACCATCATCATTACCACCACCATCATCATCATTACCACCACAACCATCATCGTTACCACCACCATCATTACCACCACTATCACCATCATAGTGCTTGTTGTGGTGGTTGCGGTGGCTGATGTGGTTGTTGTTGCGGTAGTTGTGGTGATTGTGGTTGTTGTTGTGGTAATTGTGATTGTTGTGGTGGTTGTTGTTGTGATTGTGGCGATTGTGGTTGTTGTTGTGATTGTGGTTGTTGTTGTGGTGATTGTGGTGGTTGTTGTGGTGGTGGTTGTGATTGTGGTTGTTGTTGTGGTGATTGTGGTTGTTGTTGTGGTGATTGTTGTTGCGGTTGTTATGGTTGTTGCAGAGGCGGAGAGTGGAGTTGAGTGAACCTGAGGATGAACCACAACCACCACCACAACAACCACAACCACAACAACCACCGCACAGCTACAATGGCGGGCGAACACAACAACCACAGCAACAACCACAACAACGCCACCACCGCCAACACCACAACCAGCAGCAGCAGCAGCAGCGGCAGCAGCTACAACAACAGCAACAACCGAAAGCCACAACCAGAGTTGTTGCTGCAACAACCACAACAACCTCACAGCCGGAATTCACAGGTGAGGGCTAGCCGGTTGTTGTTGTGTGGTGGGTTGTTGTTGGGTTGTTGTTTTTGTGTTGGGGTTGTTGGATTTTTCTTGTTTTTGGGTTGTTGTGTTTGGTTGTTGGTTTGATGTTGTGTTGGGTGGTTGCTGTGTTGGGTTGTTGTGTTGGGTTGTTGTGTTGGGTTGGTTTGTTGTTGTGTTGGGTTGTTGTTATTGTTGTGTTGGAGTTGTTGGTTTGATGTTGTGTTGGGTTGTTGTGTGGGGTTGTTGTGTTGGGTTGTTGTGTTGGGTTGTAGGTTTGATGTTGTGTTGTTGGGTTGTTGGTTTGATGTTGTGTTGGTTTGTTGTTGTGTTGTGTGGGGTTGTGTTAGGTTGTTGGTTTGATGTTGTGTTGGTTTGATGTTGTTGTTGTGTTGGGTTGTTGGTTTGATGTTGTGTTGGTTTGTTGTTGTTGTGTTGGGTTGTTGTGTTGGGTTGTTGTGTTGGGTTGTTGGTTTGATGTTGTGTTGGGTTGTTGTGTGGGGTTGCTGTGTTGTTGTTGTGTGGGGTTGTTGGTTTGTTGTTGTGTTGGTTTGTTGGTGTGTTGGGTTGTTGTTGTGTTGGGTTGTTGGTTTGTTGTTGTGTTGGTTTGTTGGTGTGTTGGGTTGTTGTGTTGTTGATGTTGTTGTGTTGGATTGTTGGTTTGATGTTGTGTTGTGTTGTTGTTGTGTTGGGTGGTTCTGTTGTTGTGTTGTTGGTTTGATGTTGTGTTGTTGTTGTGTTGGGTGGTTGTGTTGTTGTGTTGTGTTGTTGGTTTGATGTTGTGTTGGTTTGTTGTTGTGTTGGGTTGTTGTTATTGTTGTGTTGGGGTTGTTGGTTTGATGTTGTGTTGTTGGGTTGTTGGTTTGATGTTGTGTTGTTGGGTTGTTGGTTTGATGTTGTGTTGGTTTGTTGTTGTGTTGGGTTGTTGTGTGGGGTTGTGTTGGGTTGTTGGTTTGATGTTGTGCTGGTTTGTTGTTGGTTTGATGTTGTGTTGGTTTGTTGGTGTGTTGGGTTGTTGTGTTGTTGTTGTGTGGGGTTGTTGGTTTGTTGTTGTGTTGGTTTGTTGGTGTGTTGGGTTGTTGTGTTGTTGTTGTGTTGGGTTGTTGGTTTGTTGTTGTGTTGGTTTGTTGGTGTGTTGGGTTGTTGTGTTGTTGATGTTGTTGTGTTGGATTGTTGGTTTGATGTTGTGTTGTGTTGTTGTTGTGTTGGGTGGTTCTGTTGTTGTGTTGTTGGTTTGATGTTGTGTTGTTGTTGTGTTGGGTGGTTGTGTTGTTGTGTTGTGTTGTTGGTTTGATGTTGTGTTGGTTTGTTGTTGTGTTGTTGTGTTGTTGTTGAATTGTTGCTTTTGTTAGGTTGTTGCGTTAATGTTGTGGGAATGTTGTCGAGTTGCCATGGTAACTATGCTGTGGTTGTTGTTGTTGTTGTCCTGGGGCTGGCACAGGCCATGTTGCCGTGGCGACGTTGTTGTGGTTGTCGAGGTAACATTGTGGTTGCCGTGGCGACGTTGCTGTGGTTGCCGTGGCGACGTTGCGGTGGTTGCCATGGTAATGTTCTTGTGGTGATGTGGTTGTTACCATGGTAACGTTGCTGTGACTGCCGTGGTAACTTTTTGTGGTTGTAGCCGTCCCCCGGGGTCGTGCGGCCCGCGTTGCCGTGGTTACGCTGCAGTGCCCCGCGCCCCTCCCCCCGGTCTCCACGGCAACGCTGAGGCGCAGCCAGCGGCACACCCGTCTCCACGGCAACCAGGAGAATCGTCTCCACGGCAACCGCACCTGGGCCAAGGTACCCCTGGAGACCCGGCCATTGTGAACACCACCAACCCACCCACCTACACACCCACCAACTCACCAACCCACCCACCCACCAACCCACCCACCAACTCACCAACCAACCCACCCACCAACCCACCCACCAACCCACCCATCAACCCACCCAACAACACACCAACCCACCCACCAACCCACCCAACAACCCACCAACCCACCCACCAACTCACAAACCCACCCACCCACCAACCCAACCAGCAACCCACCCACCAACCCACCCACCAACCCACCCACCAACCAACCCACCCATCAACCCAACCACCCACCCACCAACCCACCCAGCAACCCACCCACCAACCCACCCACCAAACCACCCACCAACCCACCCACCAACCAACCCTTTCACCAACCAACCCACCCACCCACTAACCCACCCACCAACCCACCAACCAACACACCCACCAAGCCACCGACCCACCCACCAACCCACCCACTAACCCACCAACCAACCCACCCACTAACCAACCCACCAACCAACACACCCACCAAGCCACCAACCCACCCAGCAACCCACCCACCAACCCACCCACTAACCCACCAACCCACCCACCAACCCACCCAGCAACCCACCCACCAACCCACCTACCAACCCACCAACCCACCCACCAGCCCACCAACCAACCCACCCACCAACCAACCCACCCACCAACCCATTCACCCACCAATCCACCAACCAACCTTCCCACCCACTAACTAACCCACCCACCCACCAACTCACCCAGCAACTCACCTACCAACCAACCCACCAACCCACCCACCAACCTATACACCCACCCACTAACCCACCAACCCACCCACCCACCAACCCACCAACCAACCCACCCACCAACCCACCCAGCAACCCACCCACCAACCCACCCACCAAACCACCTACCAATTCACCAACCAACCCACCACCAACCCACTCACCAACCAACCCACCCACCAACCCACCAACCAACCAACCAACCCACCCACCAACCCACCCACCAAACCACCCACCAACCCACCCACCAACCAACCCTTTCACCAACCAACCAACCCACCCACCCACTAACCCACCCACCAACCCACCAACCAACACACCCACCAAGCCACCAACCCACCCAGCAACCCACCAACCCACCCACTAACCAACCCACCCACCAACCCACCCAGTAACCCACCCACCAACCCACCTACCAACCCACCCACCAGCCCACCAACCAACCCACCCACCAACCCATTCACCCACCAATCCACCAACCAACCTTCCCACCCACTAACTAACCCACCCACCAACCCACCCAGCAACTCACCCACCAACCCACCTACCAACCAACCCACCAACCAACCTATACACCCACCCACTAACCCACCAACCCACCCACCCACTAACCCACCAACCAACCCACCAACCCACCCAGCAACCCACCAACCCACCCACCAAACCACCTACCAATTCACCAACCAACCCAACACCAACCCACTCACCAACCAACCCACCCACCAACCCACCAACCAACCAACCCACCAACCAACCCACTCACCAACCCAAACCACCAACCCACCCACCAACCAACCCACCCACCAACCCACCCACCAACCCACCACCCACACCAACCCACCCACCAAACCCCCTACCAACCCACCCACCAACCCACCCACCAATCCATCCACCAAACCCCCTACCAACCCACCCACCAACCCACCCACCAACCCACCAACCCACTAATGAACCCACCCACCAACCCACCAACCAACCCACCCACCAACCCACCCACCAACCCACCCACCAACCCACCAAACAACCCACCCACCAACCCACCAACCAACCCACCCACGAACCCATCAACCAACCCACCAACCCACCCACTAAACCACCTACCCACCCACTAAACCACCTACCAACCCACCCACCAACCCACTCACCAACCCACCCACCAACCCACCCACCAACCCACCCACCAACCCACCCACCAACCCACCACCAACACACCCACCAACACACCCACCAACCCACCCACCAACCCACCAACCCACCAACCCACCAACCCACCAACCCACCCACCAACCCACCAACCAACCCACCAACCCACCCACCAACCCACCCACCAACCCACCCACCAACCCACCCACCAACCCACCAACCAACCCACCCACTAAACCACCTACCCACCCACTAAACCACGTACCAACCCACCCACCAACCCACCACCAACCCACTCACCAACCCACCCACCAACCCACCCACCAACCCACCCACCAACCCACCCACCAACCCACCCACCAACCCACCAACCAACCCACCCACCAACCCACCAACCAACCCACCCACGAACCCATCAACCAACCCACCAACCCACCCACTAAACCACCTACCCACCCACTAAACCACCTACCAACCCACCCACCAACCCACTCACCAACCCACCCACCAACCCACCCACCAACCCACCCACCAACCCACCCACCAACCCACCACCAACACACCCACCAACACACCCACCAACCCACCCACCAACCCACCAACCCACCAACCCACCCACCCACCAACCCACCCACCAACCCACCAACCAACCCACCAACCCACCCACCAACCCACCCACCAACCCACCCACCAACCCACCCACCAACCCACCAACCAACCCACCCACTAAACCACCTACCCACCCACTAAACCACGTACCAACCCACCAACCCACCACCAACCCACTCACCAACCCACCCACCAACCCACCCATCAACCCACCCACCAACCCACCCACCAACCCAACCACCAACACACCCCCCAACCCACCCAACAACCCACCCACCAACCCACCCACCAACCCACCCACCCACCAACCCACCAACCAACCCACCAACCCACCAACCAACCCACCCACCAACCCACCCACCAACCCACCCACCCACCAACCAACCCACCCACCAACCCACCCACCAACCCACCCACCAACCCACCCACCAACCCACCAACCACACCAACCCACCAACCCACCCACCAAACCCCCTACCAACCCACCCACCAACCCACCCACCAACCCACCCACCAACCCACCAACCAACCCACCCACCAACCCACCCACCAACCCACCCACCAACCCACCCACCAACCCACCCACCAACCCACCCACCAACCCACCAACCAACCCACCCACCAACCCACCAACCACACCAACCCACCAACCCACCCAACAAACCCCCTACCAACCCACCCACCAACCCACCCACCAACCCACCCACCAAACCCCCTACCAACCCACCAACCCACCCACCAACCCACCAACCAACCCACCAACCAACCCACCAACCAACCCACCCACCAACCCACCCACCAACCCACCCACTAACCCACCAACCAACCCACCAACCAACCCACCCACCAACCCACCAACCAACCCACCCACCAACCCACCCACCAACCCACCAACCCACCCACCAACCCACCAACCTACCCACCCACCAACCCACCCAGCAACCCACCCACCAACCCACCAACCAACCCACCCACCAACCCATCCACCCACCAACCCACCCAACCACTAACCCACCAACCAACCCACCCAGCAACCCACCCACCAACCCACCCACCAACCCACCACCAACCCACTCACCAACCAACCCACCCACCAAGCCACCAACCCACCCAGTAACCCACCCACCAACCCACCCACTAACCCACCAACCCACCCACCAACCCACCCAGCAACCCACCCACCAACCCACCTACCAACCCACCAACCCACCCACCAGCCCACCAACCAACCCACCCACCAACCAACCCACCCACCAACCCATTCACCCACCAATCCACCAACCAACCTTCCCACCCACTAACTAACCCACCCAGCAACTCACCCACCAACCCACCTACCAACCAACCCACCAACCAACCCACCCACCAACCTATCCACCCACCCATTAACCCACCAACCCACCCACCCACTAACCCACCCACCAACCCACCCACCAACCAACCCACCCACCAACCAACCCACCCACCAACCCACCCACCAACCCACCAACCAACCCACCCACCAACCCACCCACCCACCAACCCACCAACCAACCCACCCACCAACCCACCAACCAACCCACCCACCAACCCACCAACCAACCCACCCACCAACCCACCCACCAACCAACCCACCCACCAACCCACCAACCACACCAACCCACCCACCAACCCACCCACCAAACCCCCTACCAACCCACCCACCAACCCACCCACCAAACCCACTAGCAACCCACCCACCAACCAACCCACCAACCCACCAACCCACCCACCAACCCACCAACCCACCCACCAACCCACCCACCAACCCACCCACCAACCCACCAACTAACCCACCAACCAACCCACCCACCAACCCACCCAACAACCCACCCACCAACCCACCAACCAACCCACCCACCAACCACACCAACCCACCCACCAACCCACCCACCAAACCCCCTACCAACCCACCCACCAACCCACCCACCAAACCCCCTACCAACCCACCCACCAACCCACCCACCAACCCACCAACCAACCCACCAACCCACCAACCAACCCACCCACCAACCCACCCACCAACCCACCAACCAACCCACCCACTAACCCACCAACCCACCCACCAACCAACCCACCAACCAACCCACCCACCAACCCACCCACCAACCCACCAACCAACCCACCCACCAACCCACCCACCAACCCACCAACCAACCCACCCACCAACCCACCAACCAACCCACCCACCAACCCACCAACCAACCCACCCACCAACCCACCCACCAACCAACCCACCAACCCACCAACCCACCCACCAACCCACCAACCCACCCACCAACCCACCCACCAACCCACCCACCAACCCACCAACTAACCCACCAACCAACCCACCCACCAACCCACCAACCAACCCACCCACCAACCACACCAACCCACCCACCAACCCACCCACCAAACCCCCTACCAACCCACCCACCAACCCACCCACCAACCCACCC